ATATATATATATATATATATATATATATGAGTGTTAAGCCACTTTACAAGAGGCATTTGCTTTTCTGTGGTCTCACCCTGCTCACCCTGGTGTGCTAAAGATTGTTGTTGGGACAGCTTCCAGTTTAGAACATGGAAAGGATGTGCCTTTGGCTGGCAGTGTATCGTTGTATGGAGGCAACCATTCTCTTCAGCAGCTGCCAAGGGTAAGGGATTCTTGTGTCAACTTGTGTGCTCTAGTCACCATGTGCCTGAGGGATCTGCACCAGCAGCCTTGGCCATTGGATCTGTGACATTTAATTGGCTAATGCTATAATGGCCTCTTCCCTTTAATACAGTGGCTCGCTGTCGCTCATCTGTGCACACATTGTGTTTTGTTGCTGTGAATAGGAATTCTGCCTTTCACAGTTAATTTCTGGCAAGATGGCATTGAGTGTTGGATCACTCTGGCTACATCTGGAGTACGTAGAAGGGGAGTATACCTCTCTTGCTTCTAGACCCTTTCATGACCCTTCATGCATGTATAGTCACACCTACATGTGACATGGTACATGGGAACTATACCAAATCCACAGAATGGGTTCTTATGGCTGTGAGTGCAGAGCCATACACAGTTGCATATCTGCCTGATTTGCATTGTGGTAGTAGTAGTAAAATAAGTCAGTGCTTATAGTAACCTATATGCTAAAGAACACCTGCTTCACCTATTAAACAGTATCACTGCTACTAGTTAGTAGGACTTTACCCTGAGTAGGTGTAAGAAGGGAAATGAGGTAGGATAGAGCAAAATTCAAAGAGAGCTGGGTTTTAAGAAAATATAAACAGTAACTAAATACATATTTTATTATTGAAAAAGAAATTCTTGTTTCAGGATTTACAGTTCACTGTAACAGTTCAAAACAACAGGTAGGCATTAAGGATTCTTGATAACACTATATTCAACTTCCTTTGCATGCATAACTCAAGATGACAACACAAGCAAGCAAATCATAACACTGGTACATTATCAATTGTTTTCATTCAGGACACGGATATAAAACCATTTCAAATGGCATGTTGACAAGAAGAATGCTGCTGATCTCTACCTGGGCTTAAAAAGAATGTTTGCATAACTTGAAAACAAACAGTGACAACGTTACGTTAAACATATTAGTTGTTTTAAAACCATTTGCCTGTGTTATTGTTACCTTGACTTAGCTAGTAATCTGGTAACTAGTTGTTAAAACACAAAATTGGACTGGTGTAATGGTTACCCTTTTCAGATATATTATCATGCAGGTAGAAAATGCTCAAATATTTAAGAAGCTTCAGCTTCCTGGTATACACAGAGAAGAAAATAAACTCATTTCAAATAGCATTCCAAGCATTATCTGTCACTTTTCATTCTGTGTGGTGGGTTTCTTTAATACTCCAGCATGTCATTTGACCTTGAAACACTTAACAGCACATGGTAATATTGGTTAGCATTTTCATATCTATGAATTTACAGAATACATTATAGTTATTGATAAATGGTGCAACTTTTTGTGTTTACAGTAACATTGATTTCTAATCAAACTACACGATGCAAAAATCTACATCAAACACAGGTATATTACTGCTTATGTCTAGGCACAAATGCCATTTGGTGACATTTAAATTCTTTAATTAGTGTTGATTTTCTGTAAATTCAAGTAGTGTTCTCTTGTGGTTAATATTTGTCATCTTTGATTGACCAAACAGTCATGAAATAACCTTCTCTTGAAAATGAACATAGCACTTTTCTTTATTTAAAAAGTCTGTTAAACCCACAGAACTGTGGGTAACATACTGCCTTCAATCCATGCGCATATCTGTGGCATCATATGGCCCCCTATTACAAACATGAACCAATACTCCTGCATCCAGCATTCCTGAACACCAACAAAAAGTAAATTTCATACATACATGTGTTTTGTAGTATTTCTAGGGATACACCTCAATGATAGCGTAGCTACAGCGTTTACTATTGCTTCTAGTCTTGCTTTTTGTTTGTTAAATTTGATGGAGTCAGTAGCATCCACCTGAGAATCTGTTACTTTTAATTTAATTGGTCAAAGAATGACAAACACAGTGTACATATGCAGACTAATGTGCAGAAAACTGTGTTTTCATTATGCCCAATGTTCATAAAACCTGAATGTACTTTATTAAACAAAATAGTTTAATTCAAAATAGTTATGTTGTTAAACTTAGTTCTGTGGCTGCTACTGTGATGCATGGGGAAAAAAGTGGCATATACTGAGTGTGTGATAACCACATACATGTAATCTGATTATCATATTACATATATGTGATTTTGTTCACTCTCTCTCACATAAGCTTGTTAAGATCTCTTTAATGCTGACTTCTTAAAAAAGTGAACACCTATGGGCCTCATTTTTCCGAGTTACTGAACATCCACAGCTCTTAACAGAAGTTGTGAGTGCCCAGCACTTCTGAAAATCAAGTCCTATATCTGTATTTCTGCATTGTAAATAATTAAACAAACAGTTTTGCTAAATCAGAAGCTGATCTGAAGTCTTGGTTAATATTTGAATTAGATTCCTTATGCTTTTATATGTTATCTGTTATACTCAGGTATATTAAATTATATTTTATATATTTACAAACTAGGAAAAATGTTTTTAAAATTAATTTGCTAACCACAAAGCACAATTGTACTGTGCAAAAGATGCATGTTGGAAATTGAAAACCTTGAATTATTAAAATTACCAAAACCAAATTAACAGAATGTATGTGTTCATTTGTATAAACCATCCATGCAAATAACTTAACATTTTTCATTTAATTCTGTTTAAATATTTTCAGCAGCACAGATTGCAAAATCCCAAGAGTTTAGTTGTGCTATTTAGACTCAATTTAAGCCATATCTAAACATTCTAAAGTTATATTCTATTAAAAGGAAGGTAAACTAATATATCCTATTCAGCATTTTGAAATATTTAAATGTTTATTAGTGTCCAAAACTGTAATATTATAATAAAGAAACAGCTGGTAAGCAAGCTTGATAACCTGATAATTTCATTTGAATAATATATATTTTAAAAACTCTTTTCAAATTAATATTTTTTTTAGTGCTAATCATATTTTTCCCCACAGTAACTTATCTACAGAATACTAAGTCACACTCCTGAACTGTAGTCTATACAGCAACTTTTCTAGATTTTTCTGTATATGAGGAAAAACTGTTTTTTAAATTTCCTATTTTACAGCTGTTATAATCTAAATATGGTTTTTGGACCATAAAAAAAGAGGTAGGGCATTAGCAAAGACTAGGTTTGGCTTATAGGGAAATCTTTTCAGTTCCCTTTTTGCATGTATGGTAATACTGTAGCCTCACCAGTTATTCTTGCCACATTTAAGGTCAGGTAAAATTTTTCTGTGTAAAAATAGATGTTATGTTTAAGCTCTGAGAGCTCAAAAATAGTTTATTATAGACATCAGAACTGGAAAAGGCCTATAAATAGTTTTTTCTGCCCACTTGTTGATTCTGGATGGATCCCCACGGTATATTCTTGAGCAATCTGTCTAGCCTAATTTTTAAATGAATCAACTGATAGAGCTTCCCCAATTTCCTTAGAACTAATACGTAGAGGAGTAGGCCTTTATTGTTAAGTTATTGCTCATCTGAAATACAGGGTTCATTTCTGGGTACCTCAATGCCAAGCTACTGACAATTTCAAGGGGGCTTGAGAAGTCCACTCAACATGCTCGGGGGATGAAGAAATTGAATTGTGAGGAAAAATTAAAATAAATGTAGCTTGGCACAGCAGAAACTAAATAGCTGGGGCCAGATGACATAAACTTCCCATGGAAATGAATAGAATGGTGCAAAAGGATATAAGAGAATTAAGGAAATTAAGAAAGAGAGGCTTGACTGTGAGCTTTACTAGGCTGTGGAATGCTCTCCCCAGATAAATGTTGATAGCCCTATTGCTAGGAGCTTTTAAAGAGCAGAAAGTACAGAGCATTAGAAAATGCACTGTAGGGAAAAAAATATTGATATTGGCAGGGGGCGGGTCTAAATGTCCTAGTTCTTTGCATTTCTAATTTCTATTATTTGTTTTAGATTCCTACTATTTTCCTTCTATTTAATGCTTTTCTAAACTTAGTCCTAGGTTATCTATCAGACAGTAGGGTTTGTTCTTCAAATGGTGAACTGTTATAAATATAAAATTAAAAAAAATAAAGGGTCTAAAAGCTTTTAAATAAACCTAGGATGTCTAGTCATGCTCATGCAGAATGAAGAGGTTAACTTTCCTGTTTGTGCCCTTTTTTACAGCTATGTGAGGAAAGAATGGAGTGTCATCTCTAATTTAGAATTTTATTTGTTTTATAGTTTTTATTGCTAGCTTTAAAAGTTGTTTTACTGGATTATTAGGATTTCTTGGCAGGGTTTATGCTGTCAGTTTTGTTAATGGAATCGGAAGTTACAGATGGAAAAGAGCTATTCAGTCATATAGTATATTTCCCTTGTCAGTATGCACTCTCCAGTGACTTAATCTTCTCCCTAAATAAGGTTGGTGAGATGCATTGAACCGTAAAGTACTCTGTACCAGACACTACCCAATTAAAAGAACATCACTGATTACTTTATTGTAGTTTTTATTGTTCTTTGCAACACATTTTTAAAGACTCTGTTTAAATTTTAAAAACAACTAATATTTGTCCCTTCTGTTAAGCTTTGTCTTTACTTGCATGTATGTTCACCAGAATGAATCCCAGTATTGTTCTCTTCTAGTCTTTAAATCAACTGCTATTGGAGCCAGAAGGACACTAGAAAAGTGGTGGAATTCTTTCTAAAATGTCTTAATAGTGGAATAAGCATTGAGGAAATGCTTTAAATATCAACTCAGGCTTCCAAAAGGTATCTTGACCCACCCCGTATTTGAGTGCATGCAATTTTGCAAGCAGTCATTTACACAACTGATTTTTCGTGCCCTACCATCTGTGTGCACAAATGAGCTATTTATCACATGCAGAACAGACATGCGCTTGATGTATACAAGAAATTGTGTTTGCATGTGTAAATTTGATTATTTGCTTGCACAAGTGATAGTGTTTATATATAGATCACATTTTGCAAATTTGGCCGATAAAGGGTAATGGCAATAACTATGTGAGCAGTAAGTAGCATAAGTTTACATAAATAAATCAATGCAAACTTGATACACTGATTCCAGTTTGGGACAGAATTAAATTAGTAGATGTGAATTCAGTAAAATATTTCATCACTGCTCATGTAAATCTTACAAAATTCAGGCTCTGGTAGATGAGGGGAAAGGTATCTGGAACATAAACAGTAGGAAAAGTGGAAGAAGGGCAAAGTGTGCCTCCCACTCCTTCATCCAAGCCATGGGTGGGGGAGGAGGCGGCTTTTAACCATCACTTCCCACACCTCCCTTGTTCCTTGGCTGGTGCAGGGAGCACTTTCCCTCTTCCCTCCCCCCCATCTACTTTAGGCCCTGCAGTAAATGTCTGGCTGCTGTTCCCCCAGGAACAGACAGACAGCATGCCCTACCAGACTAATAGTTGCAATAAGCATTGAAAGAAAGACATTGTCTGATACCTGGGTCATCAACCACTTAAAAAGTTTGAACTGCACCTGGAAATAAATAGGTATTAGCCAGGCAGGGTGCAGAATACCAATAAATAGCCACATGCAAATGTGGGATTGTTGTAAATGCTAAGGATGGAGATTAATGTTATAGGCTAAAGGGGTTTAACTAGGAGTAGTTGAATGAAATTAAGAAAGGGAAAATAGGGTGAATATCAGGAAAATCTTGGAGTTTTTTAGGCTTCGTCCTAAGGGAAGGGGTGGAATCTTCATCACTCACTTTTATAAGTATAGGAGACCAAAATACTAGTAGGGAAAAATCTACTGGCAAAGGGATAAACTAGATGACACATATGTCCTTAATATAGATTGACTCTTGGAGACATTGCTCATCAGTTTATAAAGATTTAAACCTTCACTGCTTTTCAGTTCTCTATTAAATAATTAACTTATATCTGGAAGGTCACCTGTATTGTTTTAAAACTGCCATATCAAACCATTCCTTCAGTGACTTTCAGTCTTAGGTGCTATTAAGAAATAGTAACAGAAGCCTATTTTTGTTCTTGTCATATTTTTTTTCCTATTCCACAAATACCAATTTCCTTTAGGAATGTTAAAGTAAACTGGGTAGTGTGGCAATACAACAGCGTACACTAGTTAAGGTGGGTGCCTAGTCATCAGAGAGAATTCTCCTTTAACATCTGTGGTGTGTCTTCTGAAGCTGGCTCCAAGCTTGACTCTGGGCTCAGCAGACTGGGCACTCTTTCATCCATTTCAGGAAGTATTTGATTATTACATGTGACTCCACTGTCCACTTTCTGGTTCAGCTGGATTACGGTTACCTTAGACTGACATATGGATTCTCCATCAGCAGCCGAAGGAGGGTAGCAGTGGAAAAGTAGAAGAAAGCATTTGTAAAACTGAAAAACAAAATCAAATCAGGGATTCTTTTTTAAACATAGCTGCTAGACAAATTTAAAATTCAGTGCATCTCTAGTTACAGGTTGGAGTCATGGATTCACTCTGAATGATTAGGTTCATAATTTTTGTCAATTTTTAATTCATCATTTCTCACTCCAGATTTCTCACTCACATTCTTTGTTGCTTGTAGGTGAAACAGTAAATTTCACATATGTTTGGGCCTCTTTCCTTTTGGATTAGTATTGTTACTCTTTACGGTCATAAATTCCATCTAATGTAAAAGGAAAACTTCAGTATAATCGAAAACATGTTCTAATCACTGCATCAAATGATAAAAGAAGAGTTAATTACAAATACATTGTTTTAAAGTGACTTAGAAAAGAAAAGCCACCACCTGGATAATCTGATGATGCAGGGCAGGATGAAAAGAATCAGCCTTTGCATTAATAAGCATTGGAAATCTGAGTTTTAATGCTTCAAACTACATTTTAAACAATTGTTTTGCTTAATTTTAGTAGTCAATTAACTTTTTTTAATGTTGATTGATTTTAAATCATGGGATTTAGCTCTCAACCCCTTTGTGGTGCTCTAATTCCAAAACTTTCTAATGGGAAAGCCAATTATCTAACTTCTAATTTGCAACACCAAAAGTTGGACAGTATTATTTCTAATGTAGCCCTGCTATGAGACAACATTCCCATTCAGTGAACCGGGATAGTTCCATGCATGGACATGGGATAGAGACAACAATGCCTGGCACAGTGAAGGTGACCGTTTCCTAGCTTTAAACAGGAAGTGAATCTCTGTGCTGATACTGGTGGATGTCTTAGAAATCTTGGACACGTTTGATGATACGGTGCTGCTGATACATACGAAACCGAGCCAGAGTAAATGGGTCTGCATTATGCTGGATCCACTCATTCCTCAGACAAATCCCAGAGGGTCACAGTGGGCACCTGCTTGTCCTCATCTACAGTGTCCCTATCGCATAGAATCCCATCCTCCTAAGCATTTATATAGAATTCTTTGGAGAGGTCTGCGAGGCCACAGACTCTAGTGCTACCAATACACGGATGACACTCTGCGATATCGCTTTGTCCACCTATCCAATTTCTGTGTCTCCAAAATGTCTCAATGCCTTGAAAGAAGCCAGCGGATGGATGAAGAGCAACTAGCTCAAACCCACTCTAAGAAAGACACCACTTATGAAACTGGAAGTAAGGAATGCTTTGAGGAACATGTTAGTACTCTAACCTCACCACTGAATAATAGCATTAAGACCAGAAGTTGTCAAAATGGTGGGAAGAATCTGGGTGAATGCTGGATAATGTAGCTTTTCCCATACCAATGACTTCCTAAAAGTAAATTGAAGTCAACGGGACTACTCGCATCTTTAAAGTTAAGCATGTGCATAAATGTTTACAGGATCAGGGTACAGATAAACATCTGAAACCAGGGAGAAGGGAAGGGAGAAGACTAAGTTTCTATGCCTTTACATAATTTTGTTCAGAGTTTAGATATGAAGATGATGGGTATCCAAGAAATATCTTGGGTGGTGGTGGTTTTATATATAATTTACACACCATCTAGTGTGCTAGGTGTGTCAGACAGATATAAAGATAAGATCTATATTGCTAAAGAACTATAGAAATAGACAACATACAAATATGGGAATGCATTAAAGGGGTAATGATGAAAAATGATGTGATTTGAATAGTAAGGTTTAGTATATGCCTAGGTTAGTTCCATGATTTTGTCATGGAATTTTTGGAGGGGCAATCTTTTTGGTGAATTGAGCAGGATGGAGATGGTAATCCAGGGTTTTAAAGGGCTTTTATGGGTTTCATAAACCTGCTGTTCTATTATATCAACACTAGAAGAGATCAAGGTCTTTATTATAACAGTGTAAAGGGGCAACTGTTCTATTACATTTGAATATTTTTAAAGTAAGTACAATAAAGCATTTTGAAGTGCAGTGGTGAAAGACAGCAGATCACAGATTGCAGAAAAATTCTAAGGAGGTGAAATAGTTATATTTTTGTCTTTAAATTTCATTTCAGGGATCCTCATCATGATGTCCATGTGTAATGAAGTGCACGTGTATGAATACATCCCTTCAGTCCGACAAACCGACCTTTGTCACTACCATGAACTATACTATGATGCAGCTTGTACCTTAGGGGCTTACCATCCACTACTGTATGAGAAACTGCTGGTGCAGAGGATGAACAAAGGTTTGCAGGATGATCTGTATCGGAAGGGGAAAGTAATCTTGCCAGGGTTCAGGTCTGTAAAGTGCCCGGGACAGAATCACTTCCCACACTTATAAAAGTGAATCGTTCAGAAACAATGTGCAATAAGGTACTACTGTCGTACTATAAACAACAAAGGAATACTTGAAAATGTATCTTAGACCAACCTAGTCTTGAGTCTATAAACTGTAATTAAGTAGCAGGCATGAGAGTTCCTTCCTTCCTAAGCCTGAGTATGTATAACTGCTTTGCAAATAGTTAAAGAAAAAAAGCTTCGCTCACGAAAGGTGCAAAGGCACTGTTAGGTAGAAATACAATGTATTGTTGTGGGCATGACCTGTCAGAAAACATCAGAGGTTTCTTATGCCACATGTACTAGATGCCAAACTTAACAGTTAAATCTGACACTATGAAGCAGCCTGTATCATTCATACACAGAGCTGTCTGCTGAGAGATGATTTTTCATCATACCACAGGATTTTCACATTCCCCCACCCCCAAAATAAAATAATCATGGTTTTGAACTGGACATGCTATGAGTATAATGGGCCTGATTCTCATTTATACAAAGGTCCCTTTACTCCATTCTGGCAAGGTAAACGGGCTTTAAAGTGAATGTAAATTACCAAAGTAAAGGAACCTTCACAAATGAGAATCAGGTCCAATAGCTAGTCATTGTATTCAGGTAGTTTCTGCAGCCAGAAATTAACAAGTGATATTTACTCACTTTTAAATGGATATTACTGTACACGCAGCCAGGTTATTTAAATAAAGATATTACGACTGCACATATCTGTCATGGTGCATGCAAATGCTGCATTCAGGCAAAGGGTGAAGAGAAGAGAATCTTCTCCTTTCTTCAGAAAGCACTCATTCTGCCCTCATTCAGCTTGAGCAGAAGACCAGCAAGAGGGCATAAATGAGACTGAAATGGTGCATGGGCTTTCTGCCTGGGGGCAGTTTCCCCCTCTGTGCACATATGTAGGTACACTCCAGGGGAATGGAAACAATGTGCTCTGCTTGCACTCATTCATTTGAAAGCAAGTTGTAAAAAACAGATTTCTTACAAGGACATTATTCAAAAATATAGGCCTGCCTTTGCCAAGGAAATAAGCATTTTGGATGGGGAGATTTCAAAAATTAGTTGTTTGCCTATTTTGTTGTAAGCCAAGTTAAATTCATTTATTATTTCTTTAAAAAAAAGCAAGGCATTTTGTTTTTTGTTTTTGTGAGGAAAAACAAGATGTGAGTATTTTTTAATTCAAAATTATGAAGTCTATATCCTGGAGACATTGTAAAGCCTTCAACAATCTTACTATGGCTTATACACTGAGACAATCTCATAATTTCATTGTAAAAACACAGCATGGATAGTCTCTAAACCACTTCTAAAATCCACTTGGATGTTAATGCATTTAAAAAATGTTTTCTCTGACAAGAGTTCAGTTTCAGGCTGGAGGTAGGTTAATGTTCTTGTTTGCTTTTTAAAATTTGTTTTTTCAGTGAGCAAAATTCAGCAGGAGTGATTACGTACAAGAAATCATACATGTCCTATCCATATCCATTCAGCAAAAAGGTGATTGGCTGGTAGAAACACTGTTATTAAAAACAGTGGAGGAGAAAAGCATATGTCACATATTTAGCAATTGGCTACTTCGAGATAGCTGGCGATGGAGAAAACCAGGTTCATGTATTTTCTGTCATCTTTGTTTATAAAAATCAGTGATTTTCAATCTTTCTTTCTTTTTTGGATCCCCTAAAAATTTCACCTTGAGGTGTGACCCCTTTGGAAATCTTAGACATAGTCTGTGGACCCTCAGGGCTCCATCCACCACGGATTGAAAAACACGGATATAAATATAAATCAATAATTTTGTAATTCTCCCATCCAACCTTTCCTGCTGTTTTCCCCCCATAAGAGCAGAATTAGTTTACTGCACACATTTAGCCTTCTTTTTTCAAGTTGTCATTTTCTTGGGCTTTGCAGTCCTTCTAAAATTCTTCCTACCTGACAGAAAGTATGTTCATGTGATCCAGATATGCCTTGTGTTGATTGGATAGGTATGTTCATAAAGCATTTTTTCATAATGCCAAATGTACAGCTTTCATTAATTTCAGCCTTAGTATCTGGATGCATTACATACTGATTTTGGAAAACACATTATAATAATATTTTATGTTCATTTTTGTTCTTAACAGTATCCAGTCTTAGTAGTGCTATATAACCTACAAAGGAAAAAAATACTTTTCCCATATACACCTCTACCTCGATATAATGCTGTCCTTGGGAGCCAAAAAATCTTACTGTGTTATAGGTGAAACCGCGTTATATCAAACTTGGTTTGATCTGCTGGAGTGCGCACCTCCTCCCCCCGAGCGCTGCTTTACCACGTTATATCTGAATTCATGTTATATGGGTTGCGTTATATCAGGGTAGAGGGTATAATAAGATAATACCCTTCATTCTTTTTTAATTCAACTGTTCACCAGTTCGTAGTGAAACACATTAAATAGAATTTTTTTCTGCATACGCAGAGTGGCACTTTGTCATACAGTGATCTTAGTATCAGATCAGGGTTTCCCATGTGCCAAGTTCAAATTGGATTAGCTCCCACACCTTTCAATAAATGGAGTTGATCATATTTCCAGTACAATTGAGTAAGTCACTGTGCCATATGCAGAAGTCTCTCAGACTCCACAAAATAGCATGTCAGTTTCCCACTCGTTTGCCCATGCTAAACTTAAACTCTTGTTTCCATCAGGAATAAAAAAAAGTTAACCAGCAACACTCACAATTGTCCACAACAATAGGATTGCGTTATATTACACTCTAGATAGTCTGTCTCATGGTGCCGCTTGTACGCAGCCCTATGGACTCTAAAGATTCTCATAAAGAAAAATGTGAGGCAGCATCCGTAGCATTCCTGTTTCAATGAAGTGCTGCCTTTTAACATTCTCACACAAAACTGGGTACACATTCATAGAATGTATTTTATACTTTTATCTTACATGCATATCCTTTTTTGTGTAGTGATAGTGTGCACTCGAGGCACCTGAGCAGAAAATCTTTCTTGGCCAAGTGCAAATGCCAAGAAACATTCACCTTTTCCTAGCTTATATAATTATTTAAAATTGGTATGGATCTTTCATACACCATGTCATCTGTCCTAATTCTAACCCTGTGTATATTATGATTCACCAACCACCTGGGTGTTATATCTTCACCCCCTAGCTTAGCTTTGCTTTAGAACTATGCTAAGTGCACCAGCCTCTTCCTGAAAAGGAGGCTAGCGTCAACTCTTTGAAGCACAGGGTCTCAATCATCCCAAGGAGGAAGGGCCTTAACATGGCTTCCAAATCCTCGTTTCCCCTGTGATATTTCATTGTTCTACAAACACAGGCATCTTGACAATTTAAGATTTTCTCCTCCCACTCCTTCTGTCTATCTTATTTTTTAAAAAAATTCAGTACAAAGTTCAGCTGAGTCTGATTTGCTAACTGAAAATTCAACTGCAATTTTACTTCTGATCGACAGGAGACCAGCAGGGGGAAGCAAAGGGCAACATGAAGAGAACTATAGAACTGCTTTCACCAGCCTTCCCTCCCTTCATGGTGCCTCCCTCCTGAGCTTTGGTATTCTTTGCTTTTATGGGAGGCCATTGAGATTTTTTTGTGCGTTGGGTTTTTTTTAAACTTTGAGAGCAGAAATCGTGTATCAAAAATCCATACAAATCAGTTGCATTTAAAAGAGTGAATTAATGTGCATTAGGTGTTCAATAGACATCTGGATAGCTTTTTAATAATGGTAACTGATGTTTTATATATACATAAGTGATGTGTAATAGATTTCCCCATCCAAATCATTCATCAATATTTTAAGATGCGATCTTGTCACCCTTGTATGTATGTAACTCCCACTTGAAGTGAGTGGGAGATTTGCCTGGGCAAGGCCTGCATGCTCCTGACACATAATACACATGACGCAAATGCTCAAGTTAGATTCATCCCCCTTGTATGCCTCTAGAGTTACAAAAGCCTAGTTGATGTGCACTGATGGTGTATGATTAAGAGGTGAGACGGTTGCACTTAAAAAAAAAAAAACCACCCACAAAGCTTGGGTAAATCTGCTGAATTTATGTTAATTTTTGGTTTGCTGTATTTTCCACTGTGAATTATGCAGCTTTTTCAACTTGTGGTGGCTATATTGCTTTATGCATGACGCCTTTAGATGGTTAAATCAAGGTATTCTTCTGTTAATTCCAGAGAAATTATGAAAGTTTTGACTCATTTTGAGTTACACATTTTTAAGGGGGAAAATACTTCTGATATTCCATTCCTTCTATGGTTCCAAGGCTTACCTGGCCCTCATTCTCCACACTGTTACACCGTTTAATGCCAGTGTAACTGTTAGTCAGTGAAGTTACACCAATGTAACAGATTTGTATGTGGTAAAGAGAGAGAGATCAATGTATAATTATATTGATCTACACACACGGGGCTGGTCTACATGCTGAACACAAATATTTAGCTAAATCAATGCAACCTACTGGTGTTGACATTCTTTTGTTTCAGATTAAGAATTCCTTCTTGATTCTGTTTGCATCAATTTCTTGCCAAATTAAGCAAAATTGAAATAGTTCATTTTTAACCGGAAGTGAGTGCCACATTAAGAGGTTGCACAGTTTTAACTCAATCTGTTTAGAAACAGTTTGAATTAAATAGGTGCTCAAATTGTGTCTAGACAAAGCCGTACGTGGTTGCTTTTGTGTTGGTCTTCCTCTTCAGTAATGCTCTCTCTCATAAACCGGGAAATGCTATTCAGACACTGATACAAACTTATGATGAAAGTAATGTTAAATGTGTTGTCTGTTAAAGTGTCACTTTGAGTTCTTTCCCTTCGTCTACAATCCATAGATATGCTAGATTGTTTTTTGAAGCAGACTGTGAAATGTCATTCGAGAGCATATACAGATTTCCTGAATGCTATCCTCTCCAGTGCAAAGAGGATACCTGATTTAACTGTTTGAACTTTAAAGTAGCCCATGTCTGGGCATGCCTCTCACAGGCTTATTTAATTAAATGAATTTTGACACTCTGAATTTCTTCTCCTCAACTTGGCAATCAAATCCAGAGTTTTGTTCTTGAAATATCAGCTATGTAAAAGTCTTACATGTATCCATATCATCTCATCCTCTGTGAAATGTAGTCATTGAACTATTCAAATATGGAAGACTGTGTACTTTTTTAATAGCTTTGAGAATTATTTTGTATGATGATTTTTTTAAATGAATGTGTACTCTTCAACAAATTAAATCTTGAGATTTTACAGGAGTCACATTTTTAAACAGTGTTTGTATACATTTTAACACTTTTCTATTTTCTATTTTGATTTTGTATATTTTTATGTATGCACAGTGTACAGATTTTTGCTGTAAATAAAACATTTGTTTTCATTTATTTAGCAGTGCTGGTCCTTAACTTGAATGGATGAAATTGCATGTGACATGAAATGAGGATGTTACTAGTCAGTTCTACATAGTGAGGAGACCAAGATCTTGAATTGAAATAGAGGTAGAGGCTGACAAGTAGCTTGTTTAATTAAAAATGGAAAACATACAATATAAATGGATTGGGATACAGAGCAGTAAAAGGGATTATGGACTAAATGGTTGCTATAAACCATTAAAAGGTTGTGGGATGACTGTGGACAGACTTCATTCAGTGACAAGAATAGGGAGAATACAGACGTTGAGGGCTTGTGTACACAGGGAAGTTGGCTGGCATATCTATAGTGGAATAATTATTTCACAATCAAGTCACTGTTATAGACTAGAGCATCTGCAGGAGCCATTATGCTAGCATAGCTATTGAAGAATAGTTTATTTCACTATAGCTATGCTGGTCAATTTCTCTGCTTAGACAAGTCCTAAGAAAAGGCTACACTCTAGTGACTAGATGTTCTTTTCAGAAAGTTGGCAAATTTCTGTTGAAGTGAATGTTTTGCCTTCTCAAGAAATCATGTCCTAAAGTTAGTAAAGCAAAAATTTCTTTACACAGACCATAATTTAAAGTGAAGAATGAACTACAAAAGGGAAAACATAACTGCACAGACATGTCGGAGATAAAATACATTGTGCACCCACGAGAGGCCTCAGCCAAAGCCCATTGAAGTCTATGTGAGTCTTTCAGCTCATTGTAAAGAGCTTTGGATCAGGCCCCTAATTTAGAGAGGTGGACTAATCGAGAGAGCCTGCATTTTTTCATCTCAGAAAGTTCCTATTTAGTAGGCATGGTCAAGTTGCAAGGAAGCCAATTAAACAGAAGTGAGGTGTTAGATGTTGAATTGTTTAGATAACCACAAAGTCAGAATCCCACCTTTTATTATACCAGTTACTTGAGAGGAGTGTGCACATGTGGAAACTAGCCAATTTCACTTTTTCAGAAAGGAAACAGTCATTTACATTTACCACACACCATGAAAGTAAGATAAGAGGCCTTTTTTGTTTAATAACACTCTTATGGGCTAGGGGCTCAACAGAAAAAAATATTTCTTTTGAAAAACTTGATTTGAAGAAGGCTTCCCCTTTCAGGCTCTTCAGGTTAACTTGACTTGTGTTTTTTACCTGTATTTTTTCACAAGATCACTGCATTCTTCATGGTAAAATGAACCTAGCAAATAGGGGGCCTTGGAGGGGGAAGATTCCCTGCTGAAGAAGGAGTGAGCACTAATTCTTGGGGTGAATGGGCAAGCTTGGTTGGTTGGTTTTTCTTTTGGCTTGCTTAAAATTGACAGCGTGGCCTGTTGGGAATTGTGTGTAAGGGGACGGTCGGAGTGGGGGCCAGGGGTTTACTAGCTGCTACCTGAGAAGGCACTAGCAAGGCACTAGCCTCCTGTCCTCTGATCTTTCATCACCCTTGATCATCCTTGTGGTTACCCTGCCAGTGTGTTAATGAGGGGGCAGGTCTGACCTAGGAGAGACTGGCTTAAAAGCTAGATGCTAAGTGAACAGGATAGCACACAGGGGAGTTTGAGAAGGAGTTTGTAGAAGGGGAAAGAATAAAATCAGCAGGGTTTGGAACAGCTGCTCCTGGCTCCTCCACCAGTGTCCAGACAGAAAACCTGACCATGGATGCCTCTACCCAAGTCCTGGTGTGGATTTACAGAGATAGTGGCCTGCATTTCCCCATCAAAGAAAGCCAGGCTGGGGAGACCATCCAGTGTGAAAGGTGCCTGCTGGTGGAATCTCTCAGGAAGAAGGTGGGAGAGCTACGGGCGGAGGTGGCTAGGCTGAGGAGCATCCGTGCACATGAGGAATTCACTGAAAACATGAAGGTTGAGGAAGCAATCCAGCTAGAATGGACTGCAGTAGTACCACCAGGGGAGGAGGAAATGGCTCCTTCACAGGGAGAAAACTGGCTGGTGGCAACTTCTGGCAGCAGGCAGTGCTCCACCCCTGCTCCCAACCCACCGTGCATAGAGATAAGAACATAAGAAAGGCCGTACCGGGTCAGACCAAAGGTCCATCTAGCCCAGTATCCTGTCTGCCGACAGTGGCCAATGCCAGGTACCCCAGAGGGAGTGAACCTAACAGGCAATGATCAAGTGATCTCTCTCCTGCCATCCATCTCCATCCTCTGACAGACAGAGGCTAGGGACACCATTCCTTACCCGTTCTGGCTAATAGCCATTAATGGACTTAACCACCATGAATTTATCCAGTTCTCTTTTAAACGCTGTTATAGTCCTAGACTTCACAACCTTCTCAGGTAAGGAGTTCCACAAGTTGACTGTGCGCTGCGTGAAGAAGAACTTCCTTTTATTTGTTTTAAACCTGCTGCTTATTAATTTCATTTGATGACCCCTAGTTTTTGTATTATGGGAATAAGTAAATAACTTTTCCTTATCCACTTATCCAGATAAAAAATGGTATGCTGCCCTGGCCATGCGGGATGAGGAATCTCCCCCAAAGGTGGAGGAGCAGAAGCCATGTATCCCCACACCTGGAAGGATCCTGGCCGCTACTCCCAAGAGGAAATTAAGGATAGTGATGGCCAGTGACCCCCTTCTAAGGGAGGCAGAAGCATTGAGCTGCTGACATGACCTGGCATCCCAAGAGGCGTGCTGCCTGCCAGGGGCCCATAGTCGAGATCTTATGGAAGGATTGTTGAGGATCATCTCTAGCCTTCTGACTCCTATCCGATGCTGCTCATCCACGTGGGCACTAATGATACTGCGAGGTCTGGCCCCGAGCAGACCAGAAGTGACTACAGGGCTCTGGGAGTAAGGGTGAGGGAGTTTGGAATGCAGGTGGTGGTCGTCTCATCAATCCTTCCAGTCAAGAGTAAGGGCCCAGGCAGAGACAGATACATTCTGGAGGTGAATGCCTGGCTGCGAGAATGGTGTTGCCAGGAGGTCTTCAGCTTCCTTGATCAGGGGATGCTGTTCAGAGAAGA